AAAAAAAAAAAAAATAACTCACAGCAGTATCAAACTCCTGGACTCAAGTAATCCTCCCATCCCATCTCTCAAGTAGCTGAGATTACAGGAGCGCACTATCATAGTCAGCTAATACTTAAATTTTTGTAGAGAAAGAGACTTACTGTGTTGCCCAGGCTGATCTCAAACTTCTGGCCTCAAATTATCCCCCCATCTATGTCTCCTAAAGTGCTGGGATTGCGAAATGAGCCACTGATCCTAATTTTTATTGTTTGTATTGTCTTAGTTAGATCTAATACAAAATGTAGTAATAATTATTTTATTTTTCATTTCTTTTGCCATTGTTTTCAAAGTAAAAATAAAAATCTACTTTGTTTGAAAAAAAAATCATTATAATATACATCCAATTAGTCTGATGTTTTTCATTTTTAAGATTATAATTTTGTTATGAATAAAATACCCTACTACACTAGGGGAGGCCAAGGCAGGTAGACTGCCTGAGCTCACAGATTCAAGACCAACCTGAGTAAGAGCCAGACCCTGTCTCTAAAACGTAGTCAGGTGTTGTGGCGGGCACCTGTAGTCCCAAGAGTTTGAGGTTGCTGTGATCTGTGACGCCACAGCACTCTACTGAGGGCAACAAAGTGAGATGCTGTCTCAAAATAAATAAATAAAATAAAATACACTAGAATGTACTAGTAGTATGATAATAAAACTTATTGGGTTTTACCAACATTAATTTGTTTAAGTATGCCTCTCTACATCTTTAACTAGTTCATAAAAAAAAATAAATAAAACTTTAAAAAAGAGCAATAAGGCTCAGCCTCTGTAGCTCAGTGGCTAAGGCACCAGCCACATATACCAGAGCTGGTAGGTTTGAATCTAGCCTGGGCCTGCCAAACAACAATGACAACTACAACCAAAAAATAGCTGGGCATTGTGGCAGGCAAGAGAATTGCTTAAGCCCACAAGTTGGAGGTTGCCGTGGGCTGTGATGTCACGGCACTCTTCCCAGGGCATCCACTTGAGACTGTCTCAAAAAAAAAGCAATAAAAGATATTAGAAGAACACCTGGGCACAAAATCTTAACAAATTTCTAAACAATTAACATACACTTGTTAAAAGGACAGTAAACCAGAATAATTTCACACACACGTGCAAAATCGATTTGGATTTCAGATATGTCAGCTGCTATCTAATAAATCAACAAAGCAATCTCTCAAACTTCACAATCATTACAGTCGAGTACAGAGTAGCAAAAGAGAAGCCCACAGTAGTCGGGCGAGCCGTACCTTGGAGCTGCTGCTTGCACTCTGCTGGCTGCAGGCCGGAGCAGAGCTGCTGCAGGCGCCCACTCTCCACCTGGTGCATGAGGTAGAAGAGCTTCCAGAGCATCGGGACCGACAGTGTCCCAAATGGCATTTCAGACATGAACAGCCAAATGCCGAGTCTGCATTTTTTAAAAAGAACAGAAATAACTTTATTTATTGGTCCGCTTCACCACACTAAGAAAGTAAACCAACCTTCAGTTCTCATAGAAAAAAGATTCTTAAATCACACTACCACAATTTGCCACATGCTTTGGTCATAAGCACCTCAAGGATATATAACACCCAGTGATTCCTCCCTGATCGTGGAACGAAGTTCAAACTCCTCAGCCCCACATTCACAGGCTCTGACAATGCAGCTCTGGTCTATATTTCCAACCAAAGCCTTCTTTTGCATTCAGAATACTCTCACATCTCAACAAGGCTGGAGAGATTACCTTACACCTCCAGACCAATGTCCCTACACGTGTGAAGCCCTCCTCTGATTACTTCTTTGGCAGTATTACGGAACTCCATCCATACCTGACTTTGGCAATATCATGCCTTTCATCAGTGTTCTCACACTCTAGAGGCAAAAAAATTACCTGGAGACTTTGTGGAAAATGTAGATTCTCAAGCCCCACCTACAGAGACTCTGATTTTGTAGGTCACAGTTGGGGCCCAAGAATTTGCACCTTGTACAGTCACCTATGGTGACTCAGACTCAAGTGATTCTTAAACCACAATATGAGAAACAGCTTGAGCTACTCTAATTTAGCTACACATACAGCCTACCAACAATCTGAGAGCATAAACCAGATCTTGTTCATCTTTCTATAAACCAATTTTTAACTAGAGCCTTGCAATTTACTACCTAAACAAGTTTCTCAAATGCCATCAGCACTCAATAGATGTTTATTAAAATAATAGGTGAAATTTATCACAATACTTTTTCAACTTAAAAAAATAACAAGAGCCAGGTGTGGTGGCTCACACCTGTAATCCTAGCTCTTTGGGAGGCTGAAGAGGGTGACCTGCTTGAGCTCAGGAGTTCAAGACCAGCTGAAGCAAGAATGACAGCCTGTCTCTAAAACTAGAAAAACTAGCTTGGCCTTATGGCAGGTCCCAGTAGTCCTGGGAGTCCTGGGAGTCCTGGGAGTACTTGGGAGGTTGAAGAAAGAGGACAGCTTGAACTTCTGAACCCAGCAGTTTGATGTTGCTGTGACCCATAATGCCACAGCACTCTACCCAGAACAAAAGACTAAGATTCTGTGTCAAAAAAAGAAACACAAGGAAGTACTCAAAATAGTTGCTATATTTGGGGCACAACTACAAATTGACCAATTACAAAGAATGCAAGCTTATTAAAAGAAAAAGAAAAAAGAAAGGAATGGTATATGCCTAAACCACACCTAAGAACCTGGGCAGACAACTGGTAGCCCAAACCGACCCTGCCTTGAACTCTAGCAAAGTCAGCTAGACTCCTGAGCATGAGGTGAAGAAACTTCAGGAAGGCCAGGCCTCATTTTATTTCTAAAATATTTATTAATTAATAAGCCTAATATGGGCCCTAATGCTGTTTTATAACTCCAAATCAAAAGTAATGTCACATAACAGAGCATACTTCAGACTACAAAATTCCAACGTGGCAAACCTGCAAGAAACGTGGCTTAGGTTTTTGCTGTCTTTTGGTTTGATTTTGGTTTAAGTTGAGGGGTTAGCTACCATGTTGAAATTTCCATTGAAGTGCTAAATAAATTTAAATCTCATAGCTTTAAATATTTGTTTCTTATATATTTCTTTCCTTTTTTTTTTTTTGTCACCCTGGGTAGAGTGCTGTGGCATCATAGCTCAAAGCACCCTCAAACTCCTGGATTTGAGTTATCCTCTTGCCTCAACCTCTCAAGTAGCTGAGACTACAGGAGCTCACCACCACGCCTGGCTAGTTTTTTCTGCTTTTAGTAGACAGGGGATCTCACTTTGCTCAAGCTCATGTTGAACTCCTGAGCTCAAGCAATCACCCACCTCAGCCTCTCAGAGTGCTAGGATTACAGGCTCCAGCTACCAAGCCTGTCCCATATAATTTATTTACTAAAATAAATTGCATTCAAGAACAATAGCTCTCAACATTCCTATCTCTGTAGGAAACTGGAATGAAAGCTTTGCCACTCAGCTAGGCAAGCACAGGAACAAGTGACAGGAGATCAGAGATGGAAGACTTTTCCCAAGCACCATGTCAGTTTCAGGGGCAGGTACTATTGCAGTGACTCCTTGGCATGACCCTGCCCTGGATTGGGTGCCTATCACAAGGTTACCACAAGTATAGTGTACATGTAACAAAATTCATCTAAAGATAAATTTCTACACTCAGCTCTATTTATGTTAGGCCCAGGTTTTTTGAGTGCCTAAAAGTGGTTAACACCTAAGGAGTCCAGATCTTTCTTTAAGTCTCTAAGTTACTCTGTTCTATATCAGAAACCATACAAAACTTGCCACTACTTACATTTGAAAAGTCCTTTATGATTTAAAAACTATACATATTGTCAAAATTCACCATCTTAACATATCCATGAGATTAACAGAATGAATAGTCTCATTATTATCTCTATTTTATAAATGAAGAAAGTGAGACCATAAATATGAAGTGATTTGCCCAGGGTAATAGTAAACAACAGACCAAGACACAAATTCACCACACAACAGGCAGAAATCAGGGACTAAGGCTAAGAGGGAGTATAGACAGCTAGCTCAGGAGAAGGCAAAGTGGGGGAGAACTAGCAATTCACAAGTAGAGCTGGGTGGGATTAGAAGCTAGCCCCCAACTCCTAGCAGAGGGTGCAATCCTAGGGCAGAACCTGCTCCTACACTTGGCCCAAGACAGGGAAGGCAGCATGAGGTGCACAGCTGTGCCCCTGCCTAGGCCTCAAAAGCACCCTTAAAACACTTACCATGGAACAACCTGAACAATAAAGCCAGCAGATAATTTGCACCACAGGCTGAGCACCTGCTGTGCCCTGCTATTGGGTGTGCAATAGAATTCATCCTGTTTTTCCCTGGTCAAGACCCACCCCAGGCCGGGCGTGGGAGCCAAAGGGAGACTTTGCCTCTAAAAATAGCCACGCCTGCTGGGCAACTGTAGTCCCAGCTACTTAGTAGGCTGAGGGCTGAGACAAGAGAATCGCTTGAGCCCAAGAGTTTGAGGTTGCTGTGAGCTATGATGCCATGGCACACTACCAAGGAAGACAAAATGAGACTCTGTCTCAAAAAAAAAAAAAGACCACCCCAAAAGTTCAGGGGAAACAAAAAACTGAGACATCAAAATTGGGTTATTTTGAGACAGAAAGAAACCTGCAAGAGAGATCATTTCTGTCAATAGGAAGGGCACTACAGATAAGAAAACTAAGGTCCACAAATTTGCCCCAGGTAAGACATAGATGAAATACACTAAGACATTATCATAAGAGATCTAATTCAGTGGACTTGCACTTCAATCTTTCTTACTAGACAGTTAACTTCTCACCAAATATCATCATGTCTTACCTTTTTGCTTTCAGCACATGTAGGACAGCCCTCAAAAACAGCTCATCAAATTCAACCTGTAGTTTCTCTATTGAGTAGGGCTGCAGAGCCAATCCCACGCCTCGGTTATAGTTCACATACTGTGCCCAATGGTCACTTACATAACCAAGGGTCATCCTGGAGGAAAGACAATATAGCCCCTTTAATTAACTCACTCAATATCAGCAACTTTAGGTTACATTTGAATCATTCAACACATGTTTATTGAGCACCTACTATCTTCCAGGTTCTGAAGGTAATACAATGGGAAAAATTTTTTAATTCTGCCTTTATGGAGCCTACACTTAGTGAAGACCAAAAAGACAATAAACAAGGCTCGGCATCTGTGGCTCAAGTGGCTAAGGTGCCAGCCACATACACCTAAGGTGGTGGGTTCAAATCCAGCCCGGGCCTGCCAAACAACAATGACGGCTGCAACCAAAAAATAGCCGGGTGTTGTGGCAGGCATCTGTGGTCCCAGCTATTTGGGAGGCTGAGACAGGAGACTCACTTTAGCCCAGGAGTTGGAGTTTGCTGTGAGCTGTGATGCCACAGCACTCTACCCAGGGGGACAGCTTGAGGCTCTGTCTCAAAAAAAAAAAAAAAAAAAGACAATAAACAAAATAAGGTAAAATACACAGGCTGTCACATGGTTTTAAGTGACACTGAGAAAAAGCAGGAGGGGAATTAAGTGTGTCTGGAGATACAGGGTGGGCAAAGGTAAAGAGGTTGGCTGGGAGCAGAAGGGGCCTCACTGAAGAGGGACATGAAAGTCTGGAAGACGGGGAGGAGTTAGACCCAAGAATATCTATAGCAAGAGTGTCCATGCAGAAGAAAGTGTTAGTGCAGAGGTTCCAAGGGACATTAGGTGTGTTTGAGGGAATAGCAGTGCCCTAAAGCAGAGTGAGGGGACATTGGCTGGACACGTGCAATCAGAAAAGTAGGAGGAAATCAGATCATGAAAGGCCCCTCAAGCCACCATGAAGACTATGGCTTCTACTCTAAGTAAGATGAGGAGCACAGTAGAGTCTTGAGCTGAGTGTGACATGGCTGACTCATGATTTACAGGGAAGCAGGGGGCTGGGCGAAGTCAGAAGCAGGGTGGTAAATCAACAGGTTATGAATAAACTAGGGTGGCAGTGATAAATAAAGGTGGTGAGAAGAGGCTGGAGTCTAGAAAGACCATATTGCATTGATTCAAAAGGGTACCAGTAGGCCAGGCATGGTGGCTCATGCCTGTAATCCTAGCACTCTGGGAGGCCAAGGTAGGTGGATCCCTTGAGCTCAAGAGTTCAAGACCAGCCTTAAACGAGAGACCGCCCCGCCCCTCTCTACTAAAAACAAAAGAAAACTAGCCAAGCATTATGGCTGGCACCTATAACCCCAGCTATTCAGGAGGCAGAAGCAAGAGGATCTCTTGAGCCCAAGAGTTTGAGGTTGCTGTGAGTTGCCATGATGATGCCATGGCATTCTACCCAGCGTAACAGAGTGAGACTATGTGTCAAAAAGGGGGGAAAAAAGCACATCTTTCACACTAACAACTCTGCAATTAGAATGTATGTTAAATGAAGGTGAAGGGTTGGATTAATTCATATCTAACAGGTATAATACATACATCCTAGGTAAAGAGCACACTTATAACTTTGACCTAAAATGTACAAAAGTGAAGTATGTAACCAAAATGTGTATACTCCTATAATATTCTGAAATAAATATAATACTTAAAAAAAAGTATGTCAATAGTGATAACACAATGTCATAATTTGGCAACATTTTTTGTTTTACTAGCCCAAAAATTCATTTTTAGAATTGGTCGCATCTTAGACTTGATGAAATATGGTATTTTGAAGATAGAGATGATAGAATTTGTGGTTAGAATGGATGTGGGGAGTAAAAGAAGGAAAGCCCAGGGATGCCACCAGGTGTTTTGCCCTCAACAACTAAAATAGAAAAGAGTTGCTGTTCACTAAAACTGAAAGTGGGAGGGGCAGTTTGGGAGGAGAGTGAGTTCACTTGGGGAGTATTAATTATGATGCCTGGGAGTCATCCAAGTGGAGGTGGTGAGCTGGTAGTTGAAGATACACATTTAGGAGAGAGGTATAGGCTGCAAATAAAACTGTATATTTAAAAGACATTAAGAATGGATGGCATCCCAAGAAGCAAGTGTGGGTAAAAACAAAAAGTCCAGGCAACTGAGTGTTGAGCACTCCAACATTAAGAAGTG